AAAAAAAAAAAACAACAAAAAACTTAGGGCTTTATTCTAATTGAAACATAAAGCCATAGAAGGATTTTGAGAAGAGGAGTCATGTATTCAACTCACATTTTTAAAGGATCATTCTTATTGCCATGGAGAATAGATATAGCTTTCCTAGGGTAGAAGTGAGCAGACCACTTTGGAAGGTAGGTGGAAGATGATGATGGCCCAGATAAGAATGGCAGCGGGGAGAAATGGTAGGATTCTAACTATATTTTGAACATAGAGTGGGCAAGATTTGTTGATGGATTGGATGTATTCTATTGAGAAATCAAAAATGACTCTAAGATTTTTGGTCCGAACAACTAGAAGAATGGAGCTGCCATTTAACACAAAGATAACTGTAGGTTTGAGGTTGAAAAAAGTAAAAGTTTAGTTTAAGGCACGTTAATTGTGAGCTATTTATTAAACATCCAAGTGGTGATGTCAAATGGGCAGTTGGCTGCAGGCAGTCCTCTCTTTGCAGGATTCCAACATGCACAAACTTTAGTCACCCAGGTTTAGTTAAATAACATCAGTCCTCCAAAAATATGATTCCAACTGCATTTGCCACATTATAGTAACTGAATAAAGTAACTGCATAAAGTACAATTTCACTGTTTCTTCTATCCACAAGTCACTCTGTATATAACAGATGTATATTATGATTTAAATGATCAATCATGTCACTTCTTTCAGAGTCTGCCTGACTGATTGGTTACTGACTGGTCATTTGTGCATCTGTTACTCAGTTCACACGCAGCAAAATGTGTCACTGTGTTTTCTCCTGTCTCCCAGTAATAAGCCCACATGACATTCCGCAAAAATGGATTATCAAAAGAGGAAACTGGCCCACAAAGATGAAAGGACAGCAAGCAAAAACATGACAACACTAACAGTGAAATTCTAATCAAATATAAATGGAGTTATAGACAAAATGGCTGCCCTGGGAATGTTGACATTGCCAGTGTTTAAGACCCTAGACATGCCGCCACAAACACTTCATGAAGGTAAGTTTATAGACATAAAGGAGGAAAGTGGTTATAAGGAAAAAGACAAAGATGCTCCGAGGAATATGTCAGAGCAAGTAATTCAGGCAAAACATTTCACATTAAAAGAACTCTTAGAGATACATCACAACATTTAAAGCACAAAGGCTAAAATGTTGGAAGCTGATCCAAACTTAGAAAGAAATATTATAATTTGCCAAGGTGTAGAATTGATGCTTACTCCATATTTAAAGAATTGAATTCCTTCTGGGATTGAAAGTTATATGACAAGAAGAAGGCAAGCACTGTTCAAACTACTCTTGTTAAGTGTTTTACAAATAAATAAAACACTTTAATTCTCAATGTTTCTAACGTTTTAAATTAGTGTACTAAACTAAGTAAATATTAGTTTAAAAATACTTATTTTATCATTTTCCTATATGTTTATAATCAACATTAAGAGATCCTAATATTTTGACAAAATTTTAAGTCCCACAACAATCATAATTTTTATCACTGCTTATTAAGAACACTTTGTGCTGTCTCAGTTTGCACAGTCATTTTTATGGCCCCACACTACTCCATGAAGCAAGAACTGCCTGTATGCAAATTTGGAGTTTAGGAGAAGAAATCCAGCTGGAGACATAAATTTGCATATTATCACCACAGAGGCAGTATTCCTGAATGATATCACCTGGAGTACGGATAAAGATGAGATCTAAGGATAGAGCTCTAGGGAACTCCAGTGTGTAGAGGTAAAGGAAAGGAGAAAGAATCAACAAAGGATCAACTGAAAAGGAGTGGCTGGTGAGCTAGGAGAATGAAGAGAGCAGTATCCCAAAGCCCACGAAGGAGGGAGTTTCAAGGAGAAAGTAATCAACTGTGTGGCTGGTGAGAGAAGTGAGACAGACCTGAGAACTGACCATTGTGTCCGGCAATAGGAAGGTTACTAGTGACCTCCGCAGGAAGTGTTTCAAGAAAATAATTGGAATGAGAGCCTGATTCAAGTGAGTTCAAAAGAGACTGGAAGGAGATGAGTGGAACAATGACTACAGATAGACTTCTGAGAAGATTTGTCTGTAGGGCATGCAGAGTGGAATGTGAGTCCATTCGTCTTCTTAAGATGGACACTATAACAGCATGTTTATAGGCTAACATAGTTAACTAAAGAATTTATACTAGGAGATGCTGATGTCAGGAGAAGGCATAATTATTAAAACAGTGTCCTTGAGAGTGGGTAGTACCTCATACTCAAGTGGAAATATTTACGCTAGACAGGAACAGGCCTCAGAAGAGGCTCAGACATTTGACTTCTTCAGGACTCGGTTGCCTCAACTGTACAATGAGACAGCACCAAACCAGAGATTCTCAAAATGCAGTCCTCAGATCAGCAGCATCAGCACCACTTGAGAATTCATTAAAAATGCAAATTCTCAGCCCCCATCCAAAATCTACTGTATTAGAAACTCTGGAGGTGAGGCCCAGCAATGGGTGCTTTAACAAGCCTTCCATGGGATCCTGATGCACCCTCAGTTTTGAGAACCACTGGACTAGATTATCTTTAACGAATCTTCTGGCTCTAACGCCTGTGACTTTTATGCTTCAATAGTCTATTCCTTTCCAATTTCTATTAATTATGTTTTCATAACACTGCAATATTATTTAGGTAAATTTACAAAACCCAAACTGTTTTCTTATATTTTTCAGTCCAAAAAATCCACATCTGTGTTCGCCCTCCAGAAACAATAATGACATTTATACAACTTAAAATCATGTTTGTAATCATTTCTGAAACAACTTTTTCATGGTGGGGTATTCAACTTAGCTTTGAAGGCATCAGTAAAACTCAAAGCTTTTTCTTATCATTTTTGAATAATACATAAGTCCACTTTTTAAAGAAAAAACTTTGGGAATTAAAAACTAATGCTCTCAAGTTGTTTGGAATTGTTTTGTATTGCTTGAAGTGTGTTATTCCCCAGAAGTAGAGCAGACAAGGAAAGACAGGTGACATTTATCCAGTCCCATACTGTTGTTCTCTGTGGACTTGGATCTCTCTTCAGCCACACAATGGAGGAAATTCCATACAAACAGAGGAAGCCAGACTCTTTCTGGGAGAACTTAGTAGCTGACTTACTATATTAGACATTGATGCCTGCTAAAGATAAAACCTGGGAAAAGACCTCCAGGTCCTATTCTCCATTGTTGCTGCCTGGGTCCAGTGTGTATGTCTCAACTGTGTACACATTTCCCGGGGTGGGGGGCGCCACCAAGCGCACAGCTGTCTGTAACTGGATTGCTGATGTTTACAGTAGCAAGTTAGCCCTGCTTTGTGCCAAACCATGGTGTTTCTTATTTTAAAGATGAGAACAATTCCTTCTCTCCCCTCACTCTATTGTTATTTGGTTTACTAGATTTACAGGAGAAGGAAGCAGTAAATTACTAAAGAAGAAAGTATAAATCTCACCAGGGTGTGCCTGTTTGAACTTGGATGAAGTTTAGCATATCCATCAGATGTGATGATATGAGAAAACTGGTTCTCTCTGCTTTGTGGTAAGTTGGTTTGGGGAAGTGAAAATAAAAATTCATTAGACACTTTCCTGTGTTGATGTCCACACCTTTCTAGAAGCTCCAAGTTGATCAGATGTCTTAAATGCCCAGCTTGATGGCCACAGAATGCCAGCTCGTTGGTGAATAGAAAGGACTCTGCTAGCTGAGAACACTCATTGCCAGCAATCCTTTCCTGATGGTTTCCAGCCTTTTCTGTATTTCATTCGGTCAGTTAACACTGCATTCTCCCATCAGTGTCTGTTAATAATGATGTGCT